TTCAGAGATTCATTTAATAAGCTATGGTATATTCAGGCAACGACCACGAAAACAGCGGCGATGAAGCGAATAATAATGATATAATGCAAAGCAATAAGCAAAGTGTCAGGAACTATTATGCGTTGAACATGTCTGACAAAAGGTAGTCATCTATGAGATATGCACTACCCAAGTATAAAAAACGTTTAGCGTCACTAGAAAAATTAGTGGTAAAGCTAGCCGCTTTTTACGGTTACACGAATAAGAAGGTAGACCAGTGATGTTACCGTAATTCGATATTTTTCTCGATATTTCAGTGCGGAGATTGTACTGACGCCCGGATTGATATAATATTAGAAATATGGATACCAAGTCCGGAAGCTGTAGACTCGAATCAGCCGTGCACTACATATACAGCTTATGTAATAAAAGTCAGGTCACTTTATCTTCCATTTTTGACTGTATAAAGGATACAGATTCAATGCCATATAAGGACATATGAAATTATATAGGTCCCGGCGACTAAGGCCGCAAAACCTCCAATTTTTGGAGTCAGGAAGTGCTTGTTCTAAATTGTGGCCATACTCACACGTTTTATTTGTCAACTAACGCAAAATTAAAGAAGTACATTAAAGGTATAAGTAACTCTTACCACCCGCAGGGCTAGTTCTTAATTTTCCTAATTTTTTTCGTAGTATTCTACGTTTTGGTAGCAAAACAATAACCATCCGTTCTAGAAGTCAAATTTCTAAACATAAAAATACTTGTGATCGTTCACTGAAAGATAGTTTTAACAAGTAGCTTTCATCTCCAATTACAGACAAATGCAAAGGGTTTGCAAAACTGTTGAACTCAACTACCAGCAAGCTGACCGAACAAGTTCTGAAAAACTGCAAGCCTCGCTTACATCCATTTCAATAGAAGACTCCCATGAAGAACGCTTCTATTATAGTATACTTGTTTGGGTACACATTTCTCGTTCTACCCAATCGTCCATTGTTCTGTAATGTCGGCTTTTAGGTTACGTTTCAACTGCTTAGAATGGGTCGTAATCTTCCTGTAGAAGAGCATCGACATCACCCAACTGTTAATTTACAGGAACGAAGTTTTCGGAAGTCCGACCAAGTCCAAAATTTTCGCTCCACTGACGGATGGATATTTGGACTGAGCCAGGTTTTTCGCTACTATTTAACTCTGTAACAATTCTTTCTCTGCGTGCTTAAAACCACCATCTAAATGACAATAATTTTATATTCAGACGACAGGTATTTGAATATATTTTCTTACATTCGTTAATATAACAATTTCTAACGAACTATCTGTTTACTCTATCTACTACTATATACTAATCATTTCGATCACGCAACCATCATAGAAACCCAAAGGCCAAAAAAGCCCACATAATGCAAGATGCCTAAAAAGTCTAAAACATGTGTATCTCTCTGTTCCAAGTTTTAGTCCGATACTGCCGTCAACCATCCCATCAAAAGGCTGGCTGGCTCCCAGCACGATACGACCACAACGTTCATTGGTGTACCTAATAGACGACGATAGCCTTTAATGTCGGCATAAAAACACCTAATTATTAGAAAAAGTTTATATGCCTTTTTTTGACTTTGCTGTAGCTCTCAATCTGCTCCTTAAAATTTTCCAAATAAAACCTACCCCAAATCTTCCACCCAAAGACCTAATTGAGGGCTGTTACATTTCGACTGATATAGAAAAATTCTTTTAAGAGCTCGTCAAAATCTACCTATTATCAATGCATTGCCCTTGAATAACGCTCTTTACTTATAACTTTAGACACTGAAGCTTGTTGGATTGTTATTGTTTCTCTAACACTATAAATCCGTGTTAGGTTCGAATTGAGCTAATTTAAGGGATGTGCATATAATTATTACTATACATAAACAAATTACTTCATGCAGTATAAACAGACGTTTGCCATAAAATGTTACCTTTTAAAGCGCCTATGCACGAAATTTTAGTTGAAAAGATGGTAGCACATTCACTTGCAAAGTTTTTCTTCACAAAGAGCTTGCCTTAAGTAATATGTCTAATCTCAGTGCTTAAACTAGCTCATATATTTTTCATATATTGGGCAGGTCAAAGGATACGACCAAACCGCGGTTAGGAAAACCGCAGGGAATCAATGTCTGAAACATACGTAAGGGAGTAACTACCTTAAAATCAAACTGGTTCGTATGTTCGCGAATTTTTGTAGATACGCAAAGAAAAAAAAACAGATTACTTGATATCTCACGTAAAACAGATTCTGTGGTTTACTGCGTTGGATACAGAAATGAGTGACCAGGAAATCAATAAAATTACAGTTGGTTCAATAAGGCTCAGCAAATATATATAATGGAGTGAATTTGTATGGAATGAGAGGGTCGAAGTCGAAGTATTCCGACTTTGCGGTTGTATTTGGTATTTCGTATTGGCTTGGAAATCAAATCAACAAATGCACTTTCAACATCATGTTCTAAACAGATAATTTTGCTATCGACTGCTTTAATCGGCACTATTTTCGGTATTTATTTGCAAGCATACATACACGAAGTATACTTGATACGCCGACTGTCTTAGGAAAATATAGTGTAATAATAAACTAGATAAACATTATAACCCGCATTGATAAAAGCACCGCATAAGACTACTATGAGCGTTTGAAATATACTGTTACAAAATTAGGCTTAGACTAAAATCGTTTTTAATTCAATCAAATCAAAGATATTGAATATTGCTGCGGTCGAAACCCACGCTATACCCTTATTACCAGCATTATTCATATGTACAATCGCATCACATGAATCGATCTACTTAAACTGATTTCTAAATCAGTTCTAGCCATCTAAGCAACAAACTATAGGTTTACATCTAACATCAGACAGAGAATACCCTTTGAGAGAAAGAGGGCTATACATTTCTCATTATTATACGCACGCCAGTTGAGTAGCTCCAATGCTTGCTCTACATTTACAAACTTCAGTAGCCCTTAAAAAAGCCAGCGTATTCAATGACAGAGAAGAAAGGAACTGACCGAATCATTCACCTGGACAACCTCTGGCTTTATGACGTTAAGTGAAGAGATGCTAAAATATCAGCCAGGCAAGGCATTGATAGCCTGTGCACTGTTGACGGCTGTGTTAAACTGGTTCGTGTCCCTTTGTTGTTAAGCGATGAAAGCAGTGGACGAATGACGATGGCACTTTCATAGATAGACAGCAGCTGCGAGAGTTCGTTGCAGACATTAGCCACTTCACTGCCTTGACGTTGCTGATAGTATATATGATATATATAGGCATATACACAACAGTTAACTGGCAACCCACCCCAATGGTCGCCCACCGGCGGCGACCTTCGTTTAGCTGCTCCCATGCTGGACACAAACCGATTTCATTCAGCCCAGTGCACACATCAACGCTATATTAACCGCAGTCGTAATGGCAAGGACAGTTCACTTCGGTTGGCGCTGAACGAACACACAACGGTTGTCTCTCTTAACAATCACTACCATCAACCACTATAGAGGTAATTTTCTTCATAGGGGAAAGAAAGAAAAATGTATACCTCAAAAATTTAGAACGATTGAAAAACCAAGAGATAAACCCAAAGATTTATCGAACGTTTTATGTTAATAGATATTCACAATGGATTATCATATAGTCATAAAGCTACTAATACCTTCAGATGCATCCGATGTTTAAGATTCATTGGTCACAACAACAAGTCCTACATTTGACTCTTTGAAAGAAAGTTTTTATAAATATTGACGACGACCGAAAGACAATCATTTTTGTTATAGTTAATTTTTAACGAATAATATCATAGATTTAGATAGCGTTATGTACAGAATGAAGGTAACCACATCATTCATCTATAGATAGAGCGCTTTGGTGATGAATATTTGCGGCATGTAAGCCTATGAATGATTATCAAAAAACAGCGCATTGCGCTCCCTGCTGTATAACACACCTGCTAAATACATCAGGTACAGCTCCATTATAAAACCCGCATATTCTAATTATGCGACTTACGTGAAAAGACTGCAGGGCCTGCTGAAATGGAAAGAGCTACACTCCAGCTACAAGGGAAAAACCTAAATGCCTTAACAGTTTTTGTTTTGAAAGATATTTAAAATGATATCAATAACTCTGTTATGTCTGCTTAAAAGTATACACTCCGAGTCTTCTCTTTTATAAATGGTTAACCTAAATTGACAATTTTTTTTTATGTGATAGCGCATAATGTAGGAAGGTGGCATCTGTAAGGTTTAGTCAAACCAGGCTTGAACAATCCACCTTTAAAGATCTTTAGCTTTTTTGGCAACACGGGGAATCAAATTTAATAAGCTAAGTGACCGCGGTGCCATCAATGAATATCAATGTATCTCTATGATTAACAAAACCAAGTTATTAGAACAATTTAGTTCTCCAAGTAGTTTAATTAGGAGTGCCCTGTAATTAATTGATTAGACAAAGCCAATAGTAATATAGAATTCAATACGGTTTATATGCATTATATCAATATGCATTTGTCTTAAAACGGCCAAAAAAAAATTTGACCAAAAGTGGCAGGGGTATTATATCCTGATAAGTAGTATATTTTGGGTATTTTAAATTAAATTGGTAAATTGGTTTTGCTAATATAATGTGCAAAAAACTGAGATCCGATCTCATTGTTCACCAGTGTATCAGCTTACATATTTAACATTAAAGGATGGGGAGCAACTTCATGTGGTCTTAAACGGAATCACATTTAACTTTGTCGGTGCTATCTAGCGTAGACAATTGCTGAGTGTACCTTAAGTCCTTACTACCTGCGGAGTACTAGAGTAGTTCTCGAAAATGTGAACGTAGACAGCTTATGTATTAGACTTAGCCATTGAGAAGTATAATCCCATAACATGAACATGGTTATCTAGTAGTAGGTTTGTCCAATAGAAAAGTAGAGGTCAGAATTCAGCATGGCCATTGAATTGTTTATACTTATTGATTCTTTCAGGATTTGCTACTTGCCTGGCGGACCGAAGAGCAGAAGCCCCCTAGGAGGTTTCCGTAGTCCTGTGAAGAGATCTGGTCTTTGGGTGGGAAGAATGACCATTTCACGTAAGGCTTGTTTAGCCAGTTCTTGACCCGCAACATCGTCTAAGCGTACTTTCGGCCCACTGTCCATTATTTCAGCGGCAATTATAGAGATGAGCTTCGGCTCAATGCCTTTTATTGAATGCAGGCTAACACGACTGGGGGTACCTGGTAGACTCCGCGCAGAAACACCTGGTTTGGGAGCAATCCCTGCTGCAGTTCCCCGTTTTGCCAATACCCCTCTGCGGGGCAGGGACGCAGTACTCGGATCACCTTTTGGCCGCATATCAACAGCTCGGCCAAGGGACCGCTCCCTAGGAACGCTATTTTTGCGTGTCAGGCCAGTCCCAGAGATGTTCCCTAGCAATGGCTTGTTACTTGAACATCCTCCCTTTCCTGGCGGTCTCCAGGGCTCCTGTACACGGTCCTCTGCGCTCTTCAGCCAGCTGGGTCCTGCTTCAGACATGCGCATTATTGCATGGCTGGGCTTCTCCCAGTTTCTGCGAGCGCCTACTCCCTGCAAGCTCTGCAGAGCACTTTGATCAACCTGATTACTGTGCTGTTGTTGCAGGACATGGTGACTCTCATCGGTTTCGAGGAAACTCAAACGTTTCTCTGCTAAAACGATAAATTTGGCCATCTTTTGATGAGTGTACACAATTTCCTCACTTGGCGCCATCTTAGCCAGTGTATTACCCGCTGTTAGACCTTTGCGAAATTCACGTATACCTTGAGTGTAAAAGTGCACAGCTCGGTCTTTGAACTCTTCGAGTGCTTCAGCTACTCCATCAGCCTCGTCTGCTTCTATAGCTTCTTTCAAAAAACTATACCCGCGAGTATAATACGCGAAAAACTGCTCTTCTAATCGTTGTCTCTCTCGACCAACAATGGGGTTATTATCGCCACGCTGGCTCAACACACCCCACAACGTGCTAACGATGAAGCGCAGCGCGCAGTATAGATAGTAGAGCAACAGCTTAACGACGTGTAATAAAGCCATGAGAGGCGGCTGGCCACTCCACTGTTCCTGTAGAGTCATACGCGCGCCTCTGTGCATGCTTCATTCACCCATGAATACTAGGGTAATGAGCCTAACTATCTGCAGCAGCACAACAATACTATGTCGATATTTTCTTCGTTGCAGTACTTTCAAAGTCTGATGCACACGATTTCAATTTAATCCACTGATAAATTTGGCGACGGGGTCGTCACTGATCCACAGTGAGGAAACGGGTCGCCTATCAAACATCACCAACCAGTTGTTTATCGTGATTTTGGTTCCGACTAAACCTCTTCCTGATACAAAAATGGATTTTGGGTTGGTTCATCTATTTAACAGGTAGCCACGTCTAAAACATAACGTAGCTCTCCAGCAACAAATTACGTTCACATGTTTACAACCGAACACTAATAAAATGCGTATAACACAGCACACATATTTGTCAAAAGAGTTGTAAGTCACAATGACAATAATTACAATAAAAAAAAATCAATAAAACGATGACGTTGACGGCCACAGAGAAGACATTAAACATCAAACAGATGAAACACTTCTGCACTCGTAGATCGCAGCTTCTGCTGCTGTCGCAACTGACATTTGCGCCAAGTTTACCCCGCCGATTTTATCACCAATAGAACACTGCTATTCAACACAGCAGCGACTTACAGCAACAATCGCAACCAGCTTTGTTCTCATATCGTAGCCCTCGCCACTCGTTGTAATTTACCCGGGACCTGGTTTGGTTATACCGTATCGTTTAACAGTCCCTTTTTTTAGGTAGCCCCTTTTTACCAATTCGTACGCTTCCTAATACGGTGGTTGGTACGTATTTCTAGATCCTTTAAAATCTAGCTTAATTTTGTGTCAATTAACGAAATAACCGTCGACCAACTGGCGCAATTTATTCGGAAGCCTTATTGGTTTCATTTTGCTACTCCACACGTTACTAACCTTTGCAGCCGCTCTTCACCTGTCAATAAACAAAGCGAAAGACTTTCCCACTAAGGGCAAAGTAAACAATAACAACATTATGATGAATGCGCGAGAGAAGTGCACCTACCTGTGATTGTTGTTAATAATATTTAAGCGGTCTGAGTGTACCGCACGGTAGCAGCTGCATACAAGATTTTCAGCTGCTGAAAGCTGTTATATCAATCGATCGTTCCTGAGAGTGTGACAGTAATAAAGCGCTCGTCAATGTGCATTAGTTAGTAGTAATCACAGAAAAGCGTCAGTGGTCAGTGATGACTACCGTCAGAAAGAGGCTTTCACTACATCACCCCTTTATAGAAGATTAATGAGGGCTTATGCACATTGTGATAAAGTTCGAGCCGCCGATTTTATAAACAGGTTGTGAATGCACGATAATTGCTATCTAGTTATCATAAACTATATTGTAATTAAATTAGGTGGACAATAAGCTTTCATCGCTCTCAACGGCAAGTTTTTTTTTTTACATTTGCGCTTTGACTTGTACAATGTAAAATGCCAACTTGAATTAATGCCGCTTCATAGGCCTTCTACAGAAAACCCAACTAGGTTTAGCGAAACCCGTACAAAGTAATGTTTAATGGCTTGAGCAAAAAAGGCTTTCAAACTTAAAGACGACTGACTGCAAGTCACAGGTTTGCCAGTTGTTTTTTGAGATCGAGAATTTACCCGTCAGTCACAGGAGTCTTTTGATGATCGTGCGTTCAACCAATACTTTTCGCTGAACACGTTTACCTACGTAATAAATAGCGAAAAGCAAATAGTAATATTGGATTATCTTCACAGATTGGCATATATATATTTGACGTACCAAGCATGTGTTTAAATTTTAGTTTGTACTGAATATCTACAACACTTACTATACTGAAAACTGGTATTGGTACTATGGTTAACTGCCATACCGTGACGGCCATCATTACCAAAAAAGGTTTTTCTGTTCAAAATAATCCAACAAAGTTTAGAAAATCGGTTGAATAGAATGATCCAAATATCAGTCTGAGTAGTATATTATTAGCAACGAATCAAAGAAGTAATCATCACATAGTTTTTTCACTTCGACCTCTTGCAGATTACTCATTTTTAAACTTGAATTTTAGGTGTCGCCGCTGCTTCTTCAAGTTGTCATACTATAACAGAATGCATATAAATGTATAGAATTGTATTTTCTTTCATGCTTGCAGTATAGGAATTACTTTTGTCTCAAATTACTATATGCCGAATTGTAATGCCGAAATGTAACTTTTTCGGCTGTATTAAAAAAACATCTGAAATTATGAAGTAAGCTAAATGTGTATTTCTATACGAGACCTTTAATAGGATTGTGCCGTACTCGATACGGAGCAGGATTCAGTCTCGCCTACTACTGGACGCTACGCCACTCATATGACCCAGCCATAGGCTCAAAATATAAATGTCAGGTGTACCCAGCAAATGTTGTTCTTACAGCAACCCTGGAATCCCTGAAGAATCATACTGACTGTTGGGTGTTTGCAGTCTGCATGTTTAAATAAAGGTTTCAAGTGTAAAGTCGGTAGCTGCTTTAGGACTTACAGCATACGACGCACGTATGCTTAAAACCTCTAGCTAATTTTTTGTGGAACAGTAACTTGACAGTACTTGTGACTTTAGATTCTGGTGCAGGCCGCCGTCGCAATTTCAAACATGAATGACTTCTTTGCAGGCCAGGGAGAAGTCGCAGAACTACAATTCGGAAACTATATCGGACGACTCAGCCGTGATGACGCGGTCTACAAATATTAAAAATGGTTAGCGCCATATGATTTAATTTTGTAACTACGCGTACAGGTTGTTGAAACATTTGTTGTTTGAGTTTCGTATTGCTCTATTATATATATATATATATATATATAAGCATGAAGCACCGTTTTGTCTTAGAACTAAAGGGTTTCCATTTTATGTCAAGGCAGCTGCATTTGTTACGATCAGGTCATCATCCTTGTTTTTTCTTTCGTTTGAAATATTGCCATACCTTCACAACTTTCCATCTATTGAATGCCCCCACAATAGTTTATTGCTTCACTTTTTCTTGATACTTCTCCACCGCCACACAGTCTTTATATGTCGCTTTTTAAAAAATTGATAAACCACTGACCTGATAAGATGACAGATTCTTTTCCGCAGGTCTTCATTAAGATGACCTTATATATACCATCTGTTTACATTCAGTAAACACCTAAAAACATGCATTGTCATCAATTTCGTTGTAAGAAAACCCTTGTATCGTGGTTCGCAGTGTTTTCTGAAAACAAATTGTACCCTTTCGCCGTATAAAGCTCATGTCACGTAAAACGATTTATTTCAACTAATTATTAATAGACAACCGGTCACGAATAAATTTACGCAAGAAAGTAATTAAAATATGTATTTTTTAATTGGATGTTTTATTCACAGAAAGAACTGATCCAATGTTTGCCGTTGAACAGAAGCTAAAGCAAATGTGTCTTCGAGGCTCACCTCGAGGTGACATAGCTAGGTATTATTATCTTAATTTTATATTCTTTTACGCTAGTCAAACATAAGTCGAATTTTAGAAAAAAAACGGCTCGTAAAATCGTAACATCAGATTGATAGTGGATACTGCTTCATTACTAAGAGCTTTGCTTTATTGTCCTCATTATTATTACTGTTTTTTAAATATTATTATCGTTTCTTATTTTAGTTGCTTTGAAATTATATTCTCCGAATTACTCTTAATTCTTTCTCTTACTTAACATCTAAGATTAGCGTTTCTACCGAAAAAAAAAAAAAAGCATCACCTTCAGTATATTTTCTGTTTAACCTTTTTCAAACTTCAAAAACGTGGGAAGGCCGTTTGGGACATTTGCACGAGCGATGTGCTGTAATTATGGAGTTAGTTGAAGAAATAGGCTCTGCCTCCAGAGCGAATCCCTCTAAGTTGATTGGATCTACCTCTACGACAAGGACGTTGATGCCGAGTTTTGGCTTCTCAAACAACCATCCTTCTTCCAATGTGTTTTAAGAGGGTGTCCGTCAAACTTGAAACGTCTATCAGAGCGGGCTATATTCTTGGGGTCAAATGCGCGATTTTTTGGAAGATTAGTAAATACCTGAATGATTTTGAATTCATAGTTAGAACACCACTCTAAGGTACTCCTCTTTTAAATATCTTGGATATCGTAGTTTGCTTCTGCAGTTTTCTGTTTCGGCGAACAGCAAATCAAATGAAACCAAAAAAAGTGATTTTGTCACATAAAACATATTAATTTAAGATCTGAGCTTATTGTAAATCTATCTTACATTATATAGATGTATATACATTTCTAGATCAATCTCGTATTCGGATCATTTTATTAAATGATTGTGCGGCTCGACATTTTCTTCGTTTGCGCAAACGAAATCCCGCCTGTGGCGAAAGGTACGCTGATGCTGCCTGCAGATGAGAGGACCCCGGTTTTTTGTTCAGCAGGTGCCCGCTCGAAGGACGGAGCTCGGCGTCCGTCTACCAGAACCTATCGCCATTGTGTAAAAAAACTACGCCTTACCTAGTGACTTTACGCTGAGGTAGTAAAGTCATATGAAATAATTTAAACCTTAAAAAAGGTATTTACCTATAATCTAGCACCTGTCGGTTACCCTCATGTTCCCTCTCGACGGCTCTTTGTAATAGTGTAATTTTTGGGGCCTTTAATTTGATTAGTTTGCTGCATATTATTTAGTGACATAAAGTCGTTAAATGTATTCTAGCTACCAACGACAACCTGATAGCAACGCAGCAGCAAAGCGACGTTACCGATGCGGTGACCATGATGGGGATAACGAACAGTAGTAGCAATGATGACATTCGCTGAAATTGTCGTAAGTACAGGTACGATTTGACTATCACTCACTGCTAGCGCTAGTATCATATTCCTATTAATACGAAAAATCTATTAGAAACAAATATTTAAAAAAAGAAATAGTAGAAATTGTAGATTTATTCATAGTCTTCGACAAGGCGGCTTTTCAAAAGATTCATTGTATTAGGGGTGGCAAAAGCAGATAAGGGACCTTTTGAGTTCCTTGGTATTTCCCCTCGAGAGTATCTCAAGTGGAGATATTTGTTTAAATATATGCAGGATTTCTATAATAAATTCAAGAGTGTGATGGTAAAGTTAAGGTGGTAATGTTTATTACAGTTTCTTTCCGTTAGGGTTGTGAAAAAGGCCGCCCGTGCATAATTCGTGGTGGAAGCGGTGTATCGCGAAACGGGCTTCAACGTGGTACTTCATTCGCTCCAGCTGCTTCAAGCCATTATTTCTCATCGCTCCATGTTGTGAAATGCGCCACTTATTTTTACAAACTGTTCCATTCTGTCGAGGCACTCGAATAAAACCTCGCTTGCCGGGAGTTCACAGGGAAATCCTGTCTTCGATCAGTAGTACGGTGTCGGCAATAGTTGAAATAGACATTTCCTGATCATGCGATGAAAGGTTATAGCACGTTTCAAAAAGAAGGTCTTAATAGAGTAATGCAGAATTCTTATTAGTAAAGTGCTTTCAAATTATATTTAACCCGTAAGATGGTGCCTGGGCCAGATTTAGTTTAAGTAAGCAAAGCATTGTAGTAGGAGAGAGGCGATTTTGGACTTCGATTGCACATGATGCGGTCAACGCTTTTTTTCTGTTTTCTACATCTTTTGTTGATATGCGAGGTGGAACTCTTTTACAAGAGTTGAGTTACAAGAATCTGTTGATGTGCAAGCAGAAATATCTTGCAAGAGATAGTGTATTACCAGCCACGATCCCAAATTGACTGTTAGTTCGAATTTGTTATTGCCGTCAAAGATCTGATCAAGGCGTGCTAAACATAAAATGTGCTAGGGCTGTATATTATCAAACCATAAGAGTAAAGCGTAATTTCAATTAAGTTTCTTAAGCTTTTTATACTGTAGGGAAGGTTTTCCACTGTAAGACACGGTAAGACTGAGAACAAAAAAAGGTTTAGATGTTGATTCAGATCTTGAGCCAAGCCTGTTTTTCATAAGAAGATAGACAGCTCACCCAGTTTATCGTTTATGCTCATTTTATTCTCAGCTAGGATCGTAATCAGCAGGTCGAGTACGCTTCGTGGTCAGCCCATGTACGTTAAGATAGGCAGAACTAGATCTCTAGGTGGGATGATTAATGTGACCTTAACAGAGCGCGCAGTCTAGCCAAGGGCCAGAACGAGGTCGCTCTTGAGGAATTCATTACGGCTTTCGTCCAGGCTCGTTGTTCTGTGGTTATACAGGCTTTCGAGGACCTGCAGGACCTCCGGTACGGGAACCTCTTCATAGGCTTACTAACTGCAGAAAACAATGATACCATTCGAGGAGCCGTATCACTCATCGCGAACACACAAACGCAGTAATTTATTAATGCAGCTTGTCAAACATACGGTCAAGCTATGACGTGTTAACTGTTTGTATAACTGCCGGCCTGGGACCGCTATTTGCCGATTCTCCGAAATTATCAAGTATTTCGTGTTTTGTGTGGCGTATGTTCTTTGGCAGATTGTATTGGACGCTGCGGCTGGAGAGTAAGCACTCTTGTTAGGTGTCTAAAAGTGTCCTGAGCTTTTGGAGCGAAGCAACAAAAACTATCGATGCTTTCTAGGGGTAGCGGGTCAGACAGACGACTGTAGAATCTTGATGAGATGGCGCATATACTCTCCTATGTTGATGATATAAGTTATTGAACGATTTTGTGTACTTGCCCACGTAGGATTTCCATATCCAGGCGATGCGGCAAAGCTTGGCTTCTGGAGGATTTTACTAACACAACAAGATCTACAATAATAGGGATATCGCTTGTATATATTTTCTCTTTTCCAGCAACCTATTTCTTTTGAAAAAGTAAATTTTACTTCAGGTAAAATTCGTTTTATACGCTTAATCAACTGTCCAACGTGTCGCCCATGCCGACCCTGACTCCGCGGCGCGAACATAAGCTGTTATGGTTAATGATAGTTATTTATTTTGTCAAGAGTAAAAGTGCCCTTAGCTGTTATTTTATTGAATGCGCTTAACGACGTTCTATATAGTTAATAGTTTTTTATGCGACTTTTGAGAGATTCGAGGAAGGGAAAATGAAAGATTTTGAGAAGAAGCTTAGATTTTGTATATAAAATTCCACTTGGGTCGTCGAAATAAGTTCCAACGGTTAATAAGATTTTTGTTACCCACTGCACCTTTGTACATCTTCTGTGCTTATTAAGTGTTTTAATAAATATCGGTTGACGCACGCTTTCTATTTACGGATTAAAGAAGGGATATTTTGAAAGTGACTAATGAGTGATTTAGGTATTAAATTTAAGATGTAATTGCAGTAAATAATGGCTGTGCTGGATAAATATGACCATGCGAAATGCTTTTGCAGTACCTGTTTGTACTTAAATACTGTCTTAAAAACGACTAATAAAAAAGTCCGAAGTTCAGAAGCCCTTTTCCGTATATATGCGGTAATAGTAACACGTGCCGTTGCAGATATAAGAAACAATCTACTTTTTGAGCATAATTTGAAAGTTTCCATATCAAATGGTGGATATTTTGCAGATGCCCGGAAAAGCCTGCAAAGCGTCCATTCAGTAAAATCCAACAGATCACATCTGCGACGAGATTTTGTTTCATTGTTGATGTCAGGCCATGGACTGACAGGCTGGTCATCTGGAGGTGTTACTAACAAACCTTACAAAGAAAAGCTGATTAATAACAGGTAGCTACCTGTCATCTTTGAATCAGACTCTTATGCTAACGAGATACAGAATTTTTACGGTTAAAGTTCGTCATATCTGAAATTGTAATACTCCGTATATTAGAGTTTGGTTAAAAAAAGGCATACTGAAGGTTATGTTAGATGAACTATGAAAACTGCCAAAAGAGAAAGAAAGTGTATGCGGTTTTAAAATGATACTTTCTTATAGTTTTATGCCAAAACTTGACTCAGAGGTTGCTCCAACCAGCGTAAAAACAAGTATCCAATGCCAATTCTATAAAGTATATTAAAGCGATTCTCTTTTCTTACATTTGAAGTACAGCTTCTTTGCAGATCTGATTGGACATTCAATAGAGGGGTCTGGAGAAGCGATCTTGCTAGTAATACTCTGGAAACTCCTGGGCCCCAAATGGTACGGACGGGTCCTGCCATAACTATTTTACATCAGGTCGCAATTAAAACCAAAACAATCACTGACGAAAACCGCCAGCAGATAACCAGAATGATCTAAGTGCATGTAGAGAACTTCAAATAAACAGGACAGGGGAAGCAGATGTATAAATCCTTCAACTTGTGGTAAAATCTCAGGTTCTCTTGAACGGTTTTCTTTTTAAATTAATCTGATTACCATTAGATTTCACATTGATCCGCATGATGAAAATACTAATGTATTCTTCTTTCGTGAAGTCATTATTATATCGTTTATTTCAGGAGTCTCTGCGCTGTACAAAGGTCCGGCTTCACTGGAAAGTAAAACCGGGACAGCCTATTCAAGCTAATCGGTTGAACGGAGTGTTCAGCGCTTATACCACTAGATGCCAAAGTGAAACGCCTTAGTAACTTAGTTCAGGTAGAACCAGTTCCACCAGTACATCCACAAAGTCTTAGAAATAGTACGCCAAATTTTTATTTGAGGTAGGCCATAAGAACAGGGTAATTTGCTAGGGGGTTTCTATGTAGGGAGCGGTATGACAGTAAAGAAAATGCCGGATCGTCGCATTGCACTTTTGGTAGCGGCATAAAAACAGGACGAGAAGTGAAGGCCAGAGGTTAGTTTTTTAACCCGGCCTAACGCAATAGTTCTTTTATAGTGATTAGTGGATTAATTTTCTATGTATATTGCATTGGTTTAGCAGAAAATTATAGTTGCGGCTTTAATAAAGTAAAAGTTGCATCAGTGCTTTACGCGTGAATTGATAGTCAATCAATATTAACAATGTAGATTGAAAATTTCAGGCTCTTAACAAAGTTATGATGTATTAGCACAACATATATATACAAAAATTAAATCAATGTGTAAACACGCTGAGATATAGAAAAACGTTAAGTTTTATTTAGGTAGAAATACTGTGCAATAGTTGAATAGCAAAAATAAATTTGCGTTTAAGTAGCATTCGCATTGAATACCTATTGCTTGGACGATAGTAAACATGATGTTTATATATTTAGATGCCATTTTATTAGGGTAGATAAAATAAGCACCTAAATTACATACTTCTTTTTGAAAGGATATAGCCATTGATAATATTTTTAAGAATAATTTAGGTATGGAAGAATCCTAAATGTTTATTATTATTAAAACAACAATTTAACAGACATTTAAGATCAGTTGAGCGTATAGTATATGTTATAGATTATATAGGAAATCATAGTCATAATCTATACGATAAGAACGATGTATAAGCTATTCTAGCTAATGCTGTATCATATATATTTGCTTGATTAATTATTCCCTCTCAGGATGTAATTGTTATGTATAGCTTTACTTTGCAATAAGTTTCGTTGCGATGACGAAGGCACCCTTTACCTTAATTCCGCCACATATTTTTGATGTTACTGTTCTTATGCAGTTGATATGTCCATGTAGATATTTGAGTTGATAGAGCCTACGGAAAAAGAACCAAGAAAAGAAGACTTTTTTTCTACCCTACGCCAACCCATAGGCAGCTTTTTTATAGCTGATTCGCAGCTTCTTTTTCATGACAGGTCTCAATACTCTCAGTACTCTACTGAAACTACTACTTAAATCGATCTTAATTATAACAAAACTACCCTTGGCTTAAAACCATTCAAAAGGTTAAATGTCCAAGACATGTTGATTATGACTGAGCACTGTGAGAGGTAATGTTTATTTATCATCAATGTAATCCCCCAACATTCAGAAGCCCGAAAGTGTTTTATTTGGCAAGCGCAACGGTCTTGATCTAATCCTTTATTAACCATATCTGTTGTTCAGAAAAAGCTACGTAGTTGCGTTAGTGCCAGTTTAGTATCTAAAGGCGTTCACGTAACAGAAAAAAGCTTGGAAAAAGCCATAAAATATGAGTCTTATGGCGTCATAGTGCGCCCCAGATATGTCATACATTTTTGTTTGGAAGTATTGCTATAATTTTTTTAAAAACTTCTGGAAAGGAGGTAATCTGTTGACGTGATGTCTGGAGATTATATCGGATATAAAGAATCCGCAAGTGAAACTCTTGCAGGACAGCTTTAATGGCCTTTTACTATTTATGGTCTGGCTTTGTCTATCAGATTCTCTCTGTTAGGTAGTTTCGTTTAACGATATTAGGCCATATATAGATACATTTCGACCAACCCTTTTAAGCATTTTCCAGTGTGTAAAACTTGTTCAGTCTCAACAAACGTCAATTATGGAATTTTAGAATAAAAATTTCGACTTACTCTAGCCTTACACGTATGTTCTGGGGCTACTTATTCCTTACTTTGCTTTGTATTGTTCCTTGTTACTAATGATATTTCTATCTAAAAATCTGTCACTGTGATTGCCTCTAACGCGATGCCGGTCGAGATGTTAAGAGGCAATAAGAATCTTTGTTTTTCTGTGCCCTTAGCTTAATTTATGGTGTAACCAAGCTCCTATTTTTGGAGTAGATTTCCTAGATTCACGATGCCTATTGATAGTCATATAATTGCAATTCATATTTAGGCCAGTTCATTCTTCATCAAAGCCAGTCCATTTCCCTCAGGTTTTTTTAGGCGGTTTCCATCTGTGTTAAACGGCCGATTTGTCCTCCAGTTTCGAAATGCCATTAGCGATCTCTGTTGAGGCCGACTTTGAGAAGTCCTTTAAGGTTGGGAATCCGCCCTTTAAATGGCACAAAAAGCCAGGACTATCTCGGCACCTTTTTCACGTTCGTAAAAAACGACATAGATCTAGTGTCAAAACTGCTTTCTCCACCAGAAACGTTTCCAGTCATTGAACCCTAAATTCGAGATAGAAATCCGTTTGTCACACAATGGAATTACAATAGGCTTATAAAAAAAAAAAGTACTTTCAAATGGCATATAGAGGTAAGGCTAAAAGTCAATGGATCATACTTTACATAACATTTGCGGTCGGATGAAGAAACATATCAGAGGCAAACATATAGTGTAAAGGCATACATATATTTCCCCCTCTCACTCAAAGTCTCAAAACAATGTATACTTAGCAGCTTGAATCATTATTTTAAATACGAGTTGAAGGTTCCCGTCGGAGCCAACAGATAGCTAGAGGTGTTCTTTTAACTGTTACGCGTGCACCTTGTTGCTTTTATTTCTGTTGTGGCTAGAAGTGCTACGAAGATTTGATACGTGGAGCTTACACATGCATATCCGACATCGTCTTTTTCACTATTTCCATGCTACCAAAATAAAAAAAAATTTGAAGAATTTGAAGACTAACTTGCGATAAGCGTTGCCACTCCCTAATGGTGCTCCAAACACTTCAAAACCGTATATATTAATGGCTGACAAGCCACACTCCGGAGAAGAAGAGGGCGAGAACGAATTGCCAGAACAGCAGAAATGGATCCGAGACCTTTCTGCATAGCTACGAGTGACTCAAATGATCGTTGTCAGTCGTTTACACGCACTAGGAAAGGTTGAAATAGAAGGAAAATACACTTATATGAACTCAATAGAACCTAAAAAAATACCTGATGTCGCTTACATGACAGAAAAGAAAATTTGCATCCAAAGATGACGACGAAAGATTGATTTTTTACAGCACTCTTAAACGCCAATCGGCATACTTGAATCGTTTCCGTTCGACGCCACGAAAACATACTCATGCTTAGAAACTGCATTTCTGCATATCAGGGAACGAGAAGGGGCCGTTATACTGTAAGCTACTTAAATCTCAAGAAAGAACTAGCAACGTGCAAAACGTAAGGCGGCTAGTCTGCCTGAGCTACGAAATTGATAGAAAAAAAAGCTTTGGAATAACAAACAACAAAGTTATATTGCTGCATGAAAGCGCTATACCGCACGCTGTTCTGATGATCCAGGAAGCTGAGTGAACGTTGTAGAGCATACAGAAATACACTACTCTGACTAAGATGTGTTCTTTTGTTTCAAGGTTACAGTTTAAACAACTAGAAAACAACGAGGACTTTTTACTCAAGCTAACAATTTCAGTATTTATTTACATACACTTGGTATATAAATCGGCAATATATATAATCTGCGTTATATGTATTGCTGTTCCTCCCACTGTAGTTGCTCAAAATGATTGGCGTTTTGGTCAATACACTATCAGCGGTAGAGGTAACCTATTCATCGACAAACATCAGCAGACGTTCCATTTGGCGTTGTAGCGCATTTTTGCTCAATTGAAACTTTTAGATCTTTCAGTCTTATTGGTTTTGTATCCTATGTTTTATATTTAAGGTATCCCCAGAAGTGCCTACTGAAGATGTTGTCCTCTTATTCTGCATCTCCTCTGGTCACTGCCGGCAAATTCAACGTTTGCCTCAAGCTCAGCTTCACTACAGCCCTAAAAATCTGGTTGCTAGGTGCTCAATGCCACTTTGACATCGCCTTTCCTAGCACATGCTCAAAATTCGGTTATCGATGTATTTGCAACAAACGTAATTTTGGGATTGGACCCATTCACCATGAGGCGCAAGTGTTCGTGCCAAACTACCAATGGCATTAAATCTCGCTGTCCATGTTTTACCTGTGCAGGTCAACGGTAAGCTTGCAGTTTTGCTTAAAAAACCCAGACAACCTTCCAACTTATGGCTAAGGTATAGATTAACTTATACTTCTTAGGTTCCGTTTTTAAAACGATCTGTCGAAAAGCCTATGCATCACAAACGCAACAAAGCCTCGAATGGCTGGGAACCCGATCGCCGATTCATCGCCGATGCAGATTGTTAACCATTCAAGTAGCTCACACATGCTAGCAGTTGGGCGACTTACCCATATCAGCTCCCCGGCCGTCTTAAATTACTTTTCGGAGATGTTTGTGTCAGGGAATACAATATCTCGCGCGGTGCCGAGGGGGGACCTTTTAATGAAACGCGACATTCTTTAAGAAGACTTAACGGTGCAGAAACTAATGCAAAGTGTTGGGAACTTACGCAACAAGAAAGCCGCCGACACAGATAGGGTCTGCAAATTCGGCATCGTTCTGGTACCGTGTTCCCGTACAATATTTCCGTATTGGTACACTCCCAGTGCAGTGAAGAGACGTTATGCTGTTAGTGATTCATAAAAAAAGGACGACCTAAAGCCATAGGTATGAGTTTATCGCCGGCTTGCTGGGCTGGAAGTTACCTAGGAATTAGGAATTAGACTGTACATTGCGGTATTTCTTAACCGACTTGCCACTACTTTTCGAAGACTTACGTTGTCGCTTTGAGCTCTTACCTCCTCAAGGCCAGTCTTGGGAACCACGAAGCTGACAGTGCATATAAATTCTCCAAATATGAGGAAAGTGGTGATAGATATCATACCGTTCATTGTTTATTCATACAATTTTTAATACCTTAAAATGGTTTTGTAAATTCAACATGACTATGATTTATATAAGGGATGGTCCAATAATTGTTTGCTTGAAATGCTACACCATGCTGTTACTTCTGATAAATTTACGTGGGCTTCCTGCATAATGTATAGATTTACAGTTGCATGTGCAATTATACCGATTAAGTGCGCCATTTGCGCGTTTGAATGCAGCAGCACTATCACTCGAAACAATCTTTCCCCTTTATCCTGTTCAGTTTTCTAGATGAACCATTCGCAAAATAATCCTCTGCGATCCGGACTATTTTATTCGCTAGTACGAACAATCGCTGAAATGTAACAACGTTTTAAAACAGACATCTGGATCGCTGATGCCATGCTCACGACTCAGATTCCATCTACTATTTGTGGTACCACGCGAAAGCCAGTTCTTTTTACAACAAGTTCATTCTTCGAAATTCGTCTTCGAAATCTGGGCGAGGTGATGATCTCGCTATTACCGAATCTCTGTACGCTGGACGAGCCCCCACTTCTTGGGTCACTCAAAGTAGACGGTTGAAGCGACTGAAGGAAGATTATACGTCTGCTATTAAGATGGCATATCCGCTTATATAAGACAATAAGTGCAGAATTGGCTGCTTAAGAATACAAGCATGTTCTGGGATGAGCAG